AGTGGCAATCAAAAGGAAAAAAGCAATGCAATAAATTTTCTAAGCTTTACATCTAATTACCAAGCCTGCCACATCATGGTGGTTATTTTTTCCCTCAAGTGTAATCCATCTGTACCTCCAACAATAGCAGGAGTTATTGGTGTAGTCCAGACTCCACTTCACTGGCCAACTCATAACTCTAATTGGAAGAATGAGAAAAGAGAGGAGAGAGAGGAAGGGGATGAAGAGGGAGGTAAAGGGCTAATAGCTGGCATTTCATTTGTACAGATAATTAATCTCCTCATGTCGAACAGAAGGGAGAGTGAGTTGGGGAATGGGGGAGGAAGAGAAGGACAAAGTTAGGCTGGGCATGGTGGCTCACACCTGTAATTCCAGCACCATGGGAGGCCGAGGCAGGTGGATCACTTGAGGTCAGATGTTTGAGACCAGCCTGGCCAACATGATGAAACCCCATCTCTACTAAAAAGAAGTACAAAAATTATCCGGGCATGGTGGCCTACACCAGTAGTCCCAGATACTCGGAGGGCTGAGGTGGGAGAATCACTTGAACCCAGGAGGCAGAGGCTGCAGTGAGCCGAGATCGTGCCACTGCACTCCAGCCTGGGCGACAGAGCACGACTGTCTCAAACAAAAAAAAAAAAAAAAAAAAAAAGAAGGACACAGACTCCTGGAAACTGCCATGGCACAAAGTAAGAAGTCTCTTTCATGGAGTGTAAAGGTGATAACAGCTAGTGCTTATTGAGCCTTCATGCTGCACCAAGCTGTATTCTAAGGCTTTCTTCATGAATTAATCCACTTAAACTTCCCCATGATGCTGAAGGTGAGGAAACCAAGGAATTTACTCAAAGTCCACAGCTTGTGAGTGTTGGGGCTGGGATTTGAATAGAGGCCTGCTGCCTCCTGGGTCTGACCACAGTGTCAACCCTGGGTGCTCAGCTGCTTTTTATATCTGCCTGTCATGTGTAAATTCTTTCAGGCTAATTTACATGAAATCACTTTCACCCTCTGAGTAGACATTAGCTGTCATCTTTTAAAAAATAGATTTTTAATTATTTGAGTAATGTACTGTGTTAGGCTGTTCTTGCATTGCGTAAAGAAATACCTGAGACTGGATAATTGATAAGAAAACAGGCTTAGTTGGCTCATAGTTCAGAAGGCTGTACAGGAAGCATGGCGCCAGCATCTCCTTCTGGGGAGGCATCAGGGAGCTTACAAAGCAAAGCAAAGGGGGAGCAGACATCTCACACAGTGGGAGCAGGAGGTGGGGGGGAAGGTGCCACACACTTTTAAATGACCAGATCTTGCAAGAACTCACTATCACAAGGACAGCACCAAGAGGAAGGTGCTAATATATATGGCAAAATCTATTGTTGGAACTGAGTACTCCTTCAAGTTCATAATCCACATGGTGCTGACTGATGTCTACTGTGGTTGGGTTTCTCTGTGGTGGTTTAGTGCATAATTTGAGAACTAATTGCAGTTATAGTGATAAATTTTGCAGTTTACTTTTCTTTATCCCACAGTGTGCCTTAGAGATCTGTCCATGTTACACATAAAGAAAACACTGCTGCAGAATCATCCAGAATATGATCAGACCACAGTCTATGTACCCATTTTCCTGATGATGGCCATTAATGTTATTTCTAATATTTTGTAATTTTATATAATATTGCAGTGAAAATTCTTGTTGGGTACCTCTTTGTTCACATGCTGTGTTGGAAAATAAAGAAATTGCTGGGCCATGTGCCTGTCAGATTTTTTGTTTAACTTTCTCTCTTTCTTTTTTTTTTTTTTTAAATTTTTGAGATGGAGTCTCTCTCTTGTGGCCCAGGCTGGAGTGCAATGGTGTGATCTTGGCTCACTGAAACCTCCACCTCCTGGTTTCAAGTGCGTCTCCTGCCTCAGCCTCCTGAGTAGCTGAGATTACAGGCGCCTGCCACCACGCCTGGCTAATTTTTGTATTTTTAGTAGAGATGGGGTTTCACCATGTTGGTCAAGCTGGTGGCAAACTCCTGATCTCAAATGATCTGCTCACCTTGGCCTCCAAAAATGCTGGGATTACAGGCATGAGCCACTGTGCTCAGCCTTTTTTAACTTTTAAGTTAGGTGTACATATGCAGGTTTATTACCTAGGTAAACTTGCATCATAGGTGTTTGTTGTACGGATTATTTCATCACGCAAGTATTAAGCCTAGTTTCCATTAGTTATTTTCCCTGATCCTCTCCCTTCTCCCACCCTCCACCCCCCAATAGGCCCCAGTGTGTGTTGTTCCTCTCTATGTGACTGTGTGTTCTCATCATTTAGCTCCCATTTATAAGTGAGAACATATGGTATTGGTATTTGGCTTTCTGTTCCTGTGTTAGTGGTTTAATGAATACTAACAAGTTGAACTTGGCCCTCTTTGAATGAATGATTTCCTGTCTTTCCTTGAAACATTATTATTACTGGCTTATTTTTCCTAGTACTCTATACCCATGACTATCCCTTTGGGGGAGAATAGCTGTCCCGAAAAAGTGTGTAATGATTATGTTGTAGAAGTGGGTAACAGATACACCAGGCCTGAAAGGCAAAGGTAGGTTGTGAATAGGTTAAAAGGAAAAGGATGGTAGAAACTGATCTGAAACTGCAAGGTGTATTTCTTAGGGCAACTAAGAGGCCAGTTTAATTAGAGGAAATAATTTATTTAGGACACAGATGGCAAATACCTTGCAGGCATGCCTTACATGTTCCCTATTCCCTCCGTGGCAGACATCGCCAATCTATCGTGGCATGACAGGCAAAGCCAATCCATCATGGCACTCATTCTCTCAGAGCCTGCACCTGGTTTTGGTATCCTCTTCACAGCCCTGGTATGGGTACACAAAATGAAACTGACTTTTCACCCCTGGAGTCAGAGATAAGTTGGAGAAGCAGGTTGAAGTTAGAAAAGAAAGGGCTGAGGAGTTCAAAGAATGCCAAGCAAGGAGAATTTTGAAAACATATTTATATTTTGGACTTTATTAGCAAAATGACTGGTGATTCTCCTCTGCAAAGCAATAAGTATTGATCTCTTGCTGCTATTTGTTTTCTTACTTTAGTTATGAATGTTCCTATTTATTTCTAGAACAGTAATTTAATCACCAGGGGCCTCTTTTATTATTCTCCTCCATGGAGCGCATATACTTTTGTTCTCCTCCATGGAGCACAAAGATGTGGCCTACCAATTAAACTGTACCTATTAAATAACAATAACAACAACTGCAACAGCTAACAAGCATTTTATTATTTTCACATCACGCACTGTGTATATTACATTTGTTAACTTTTGAAATCCTCACAACAGCCCTATGAGATGGGGTGTGATTAGTATTCCCATTTTATACATGAGGAAACTGAGACACAGAGAGATTAAGCATCTCATACCAGGTTTATAGCTGGTAAGTGATATAATCAATGAGTTTTCCACTGTTCAGTTATAACTATATAACTTCTGATTAGAAGGAGAGAACAAGGGTCCCCAAATGAGTTGATATAATATTAACCAGAAGCAAAAAGACTTGCTTTTTCAGTTTGTGTGTGCAACCTGGTCAAAGGTAAATATGTGCTTTTTTTTGGTTAGACTTTCCATAATGTTGAAACGCTTATGAGAGTTCCATTATTGTTTTTGAAGACTTCAGAGATCTGACACTCTCAGTGATTTCTAGATTAGAAACCACTAGTTTGATGATTCAGTTTTTAAGCTCCTGAGAAAGTAGGGAGTGTTCACCGAGAAGAATGTACATTTTAGAGCAAGTGATCAGCTGGGAGGCCATGCAGCTGAGAGGCTAAGGGCCCATGCACTAGAATCCTGCTGCATGGCTGGCTTCACTGTTTATTAGCAGAGTGACCTTAGGCAAGCTGTTTAACACCCTGAGCCCCAGGCTTCTCATTTATAAGTGGAGTGGTAGAAAGGACTATATAAGAAAACACATGGAAATGTTTGAATGGCACTTCGCATTTAGTAAGCACTCAACAAATGCTAGCTCTTATTATGATTATGTATTTACATCAAAGAATATGGATAATTCAGGACCTGAGGTTTACTGGATAACACAAAGGGGATGGTGCAAGAGCTCAATGGATGGTAAGTTTGCTCTTCTGATTTCCTCTCTGGCATCAAGCAGGTGGGGTGCCACAAGAGGGAGAGATCCCTGACCTCAGGATGGATACCCCAGGATACTCCCTGTATCATCTCTAAACTACAGGTGTATAAAGTGACTCTAACTGGCATTCCCTGAGCAGCTTCAGGGACCTCATGGTTAGTGATCTCAAGAGCTGCCCGGCTTTCAGCATGTGGGAAGTGATGTTTGTATGGGCTGAGGAGAGGGCCAGCCACCGGGACCAGTGTGGTGCCTACTTCAAATGCCTGTCAGTAACATGGTTCTGAGCTCTCCTGGTGTTTTGACTTCTTTGTTTTCTGATAGAGCTGATTTTTCTTCTCAATGACCTCAGGCCTCTGAAAATGAGATATTTAAGATCATTTTCCCCTCCCTACTATAAATGAAGAGTTGCCTCTGCATGTGATAGGGATAATGCCAGCTTAGCCCAATATTCCTTTTAAGGGAATTTGGCCTGGAAGCAGGACTGGATGCTGATGCTGTCTTGGACTGTGACTCTTTGAGGTCATGGATGTCAAATGCTAAAAGTCTTTCACAGAACCATGGAGCTCAAAGGATCACCTAGGAGTCAATTAGGGGTACTAGAACATCCCGTTTGAGTGCGTATTCTTTCTCTTGTCCCTCTCTCCTAGCAACTGTCCGACTCACATATTACTTGGAAAATGTTGACTCTGTAATTTATATCCTTGTCTGTACTATGATTATTGTCAAGTTGTTTATGTTGGTCTTCAGAGTGTGGAATGCCAAAGAGTATCTATGGAAACTGAGGCTGTACTTTGGAATTCCTTTTAGTTATTAGGTATGCAGTGTATGGTCCAGCAATTTGACCCCTGATCTCTGCTTTTTTTTTTTCCCCTCCCTAGCACTGGCTTGAACCTAACAAGTCCATCTTCAAGCAAATGAAATGTAAGTGTCAATCTGTGACTTTACTTTTCTATAACGTGTCCAAAGATAGATACTGTTTCCTGAAATACTTTCTCCTGCCAGGGGAAAACTAGGTAGAGTTGAAGAGGTGTTGGGGGGAGTGGGGGCTTCTCTCTCCCCAGGAGAGCTCTGTATCTTCTCCCCTCTTTTTCTATGACCCTTATCTGCACCAGAAGTCATTATTCCTATAGTCTCCTGGGCCTCTCCCCCTCCCCACCGTCTTGCCTTCATATTTGATATTTGAACAGGAGCTTTGGAATTGGATGGTTAAATATCTCTTAAATACAATCACCAGGTATCTGGTTCCTTTTGATTATGAGGGTTGCTAGTCAGTGGTTAAGTGTGGGAGGGGGTGCAGTATTAAGGGAGATGGGAGAAGCAGATGTGTTTGGAAACTAAAATCTTAACAATGACTTTGCTGAAGACTATCATCCTTTTCCATTCCTTGAACTCCCAAAAATGAAATAAAAACATTTTTTTTCCTGGGTAATTGTTTTAAATCTCTGGTGTTCTGAACTTCTTTATTATTATTATTATTATTATTATTATTATTATTATTATTATTATTTACCAGTGAGCTCTTGGGGAAATTGGCTTGGGTAATAACATCTTTCTAGTTGTCTACCTGGGACCCGGATCCTATGAGGAGGGCGTTGACTGGTGGTCCTGGGTGACATGATGTTTTGTTCTGGCCTGTCATGCTAGGCTGTAGCCAACCTGCTTTTATTTACGGTTCGGAGGAGAACTTCTGAAATGCACATTTATTGCCTGTCCCAAATCCATTTATCCCTCCACATCTACTTTCCCAGGGCTCTGAAATGCAGGCGATAAATCAGTTTCTAATCAGAGATCTGGTTGGTGCATATCATGTCACTTGTCATCATTCAAGGGACTCTTTCCTTTTTCAAATATGAAGGAATTATTCTGGGCAGGGTTTTCAGGTGAAAGAAGGAAGAAACTGAGCATGGACTACAAACTAGTGGCCAATGTATCTCTTCTTCAACTTTCTTCTTTTTCTCTGCCTCCCTGTCCCTTTCTCCCTCTCTTCCTCCCTTCTCATTCCTCCTTCCCTCGTTCCCTTTCTTTTCCTTCCCCTCCCTCTTCCATCCTTCAAGGCAAAACTCTCTCTGGCTAGTGAGTGTTCAGATTGCACAAGTGCAGCGGTGGGTGTGGGAAGTCCATGGAAGCCAGGCTTCTGGGGGGCAAGGCTGGAACAGAGTTGGGGTGGGGCAGGAGAAGAATTGGGGCAAGAGTGGAACAGAGTTGGGATGTGCATCCAAACAGAAGTACTGTAGCAGGATAGAGGTCCCAGGAGGCTGCATATGGTATGATATGCAGGATAATGAGAATGAGCTAAAATGCCTGAGAAAAAATAGCTGATTCCTAGCTTTTGTCCCTTAACTACAAAACGTTGATATTTTTGTTTATGTATTTGAAAATATTTAGACTATTTTTCAGTATATTAAATCGTTCTTTGACTTTGATTCTTATTTAATAAATGCCATGCAGTATTTTCCTTTTGTTCTTAAGCCACACCCAGTTTTGAAATAGAAATTTATCTTTAAAGGCATTTCAATACTTAATAAAAGCAAAACTTTAAACTTTGTGAGAAGTTTAAAACTTGTGAGAAATTCAGTGTTTAAGAGAATTGTCTCTATAATACAGCAAATCTGAACAACCAACTAAAAAGTATAATGACTTTTTTTTTTTCCAGACAGTCTCCATCTGTCACCCAGGCTGGAGTGCAGTAGTACAGTCTTGGCTCACTGCAATCTCTGCCTCCCAGGTTCAAGCAATTCTCATGCCTCGGCCTCCTGAGTAGCTGGGACTACAGGTGCACACCGCTGTGCCTGGCTAATTTTTATATTTTGGTAGAGACTGGGTTTCACCATGTTGGCCAGGCTGGTCTCGAACTCCTGACCTCGTGATCTGCCCACCTTGGCCTTCCAAAGTGTTGGGATTACAGGCGTGAGCCACTGCACCCACCCTAAAATGCATAATGTTTTGTTAGAATAGTATAAAGATTGGCATTTGACTACTGGCCAGTTTTAATCTAATGACAAATGAAATCTCAATCTGGAAAATAGAGTTGTATAAAATTCAGTGTGTGAACCAGAAAGGGTGACTCAATGATTCTAGAACTGCAAGGGTCTTACCCATTACCCAATCCCTGTTATATTGCTGAAGACATTACCGAACAAAAAATTATATAATCTTCTCAAGATCACAAACCTAGTTTATTGTGTTGTTGATGATTATGAAGAATTTCTGTGTTCTTGTACATATGCCCTAGAAATATTAACTTTACTCTAAATTAGAAGAATTTTTAAACTAAGGCTTTTATATTGTTAATCCAGAGAAACCAAGTTCAACCTCAGGGACTCATCCATGAATTTATCAAAAGGGTCTGGTCACAGAGCCCCAGTGGCTTCCTCCTTTAATGCCCATATCACCATTCAGTAGGCAACGGCTGCAGAATTCCTTGGAGGACCTGTTTCTCACTTACACGGGATGAAGGACATTCTGGTCCTTCTCTCTGACCCTATTAAGATCCTTTTGACTATGGATATTCCCAAGAATGATGTTTCCCAGCATTGGCCAAAGGTCAGCTATCCTGATTAACAAACCTTGTATGAAGACATTATTATTTTTTTACTAGTTTTAAAAAATTATCATGTGTATGTTTTTTCAAACTGTTTAGAAAGATTTAAAATGAAGACAAAAACTATTTCCTTGCTCCTCTCCCATAGCAAGCTCACCCCAAAGAAATAACAATTGCTAACAATATTTTGTATATCCTTCCAAGAATTTTATGAATGTATACAATTCCCAACATATGTAAGTCCTTTGATAAACAGCAATGAGACCAGTCTCTATATATTGTTCTTCACTTTGTTATTTTTTCTTAATTGTAGAAATTTTAAAATATCAGTAATTGATTATTGGCCTGATTTAAAAATGGTTTTCTGAGTTAATTGTATGCATGTATGTTATTTATTTATTTGTTTTGAGACAGAGTCTCAGTCTGTTGCCCAGACTGGAGTGCAGTGGTGTGATCTTGGCTCACTGCAACTTCTGCCTCCCTGGTTCAAGCTATTCTCCTGCTTCAGCCTCCCTGAGTAGCTGGGATTACAGGCATGCACCACCACACCGGGCTAATTTTTGTATTTTTAGTAGAGACAGGGTTTTGCCGTATTGGCTAGGCTGGTCTTGAACTCTTGACCTCAGGTGATCCACCTGCCTCAGCCTCCCAAAGTGCTGGGACTACAGGTGTAATCCCTTATGTATTTATTAAGGGAGATAAAGGTGGTTTTGGTGGTTTCTGGTATTTTGCTATTATAAATTATACTGCAGTAAGCTTGCTGTATACAGTATTGCATCTTGTAAAAGTACATCTGTGCTAGAAATTTCTAGAAATGAAATAATTAGATCTAAAGATATATACATTTTAAAATTTTTTGGTGATAAATATCTAGTCAAGGAGCTTGTAGCCATTTGAATCTAATGACACAAAAATGTTACAAAGAAATCTAATGACACAAAGGACACAATCTAACTCCCACAAATGTTATCTGAGAATGCTTGCTTCTACAAAACTTGTTGAAAATAGGGATAATTAAATTTATCTTTCTGGACAATTTCAAGCTTGTGAAGGGAGAGAAATGTCTGTTTACTTGAAAAACTAATTACACAGTTACTAATTTGGTGTACATTTTTACATTAAGGTATTTCTTAAATTAAAATCTTTTCTCCTCTGAACTTAGAAGAGATGGTAATATTTTGATTTTTGAATTAACATATGCTAAAATTGACTTTATTTTTGTGTGCCATTCTGTGAGCCTTTACTCATAGGATTTTCATGACCACCACCATGGACAGGATGCCAAACAGGAACAGGGCTCCGGTTTTCATCACCCAAAACCTGCCTGTGCTGTGCCTTTGTGGTGATATCACTGCCTTCTAGCCACTCACAACCACTGGTCTGTTTCATGCCAGTATAGTTTTCTTTTTTAAAAATATAATGTAAATGGAATCATATAGGATACAATTTTTGAGATCAGTTTTTAAACTCAGGATAATAACTCTGAAATTCATCCAAGTTGCTGTGTTTATCAGTATATAATAGAAGAACACAATGAAAATAGAAGCTAGTCTTTGAAAATATCAAGAAAATTGATGAATTTTTAGCAAAATGGAGGAGAGAAAAAAAAAAGAGGGAGAATGCATAAATTACCAATATCAGGAACAAGAGAAGGAACATTACTACAGATCCCACAGAACAACTTGGCACAGAAATTGACAGCTTAGATGAAATAGATCTCTTCCTCAGAAGTCATGACTTACCAAATCTCACCCCACGTAAACTATATAACTTGAGTAGTCTTATAACTATTAAAGAAATTAGGCTTGAGACCTTTCAGAAAAGAAGTCTCCAGCACCCTTGCTGTTACTACCGTTGCAACCAGCACTTCCCTTTCTACTCCTGAAGCTTTAATTAGGAGCCTCTTCTGGAGCATTTTCTTTAGGAGCTGATGTCAGTTTCCAGGTATCTCCTGGGTTCTGTCCAGAGGATACTGAAGGGAAAATCGTGGTGAATTCACCACAGGTTTAGTGGGGTCCTTTGCACTCTCATCTTCCTTTCCACTCTGCTTGCTACTATTTACTTTTCAGAGCCCTTTAATAGCTACCACGCATATTCTGCCTATCTTTTGTAGCTGTGTTCAGTGAGACAGATAAGGTGGAGTGCAATTAACCCATTCTACCTGGAACTAGAACCTTAAAATCAAACTTTTAATTATTGCTTGTCTATTAGATTAAAATGCAGGTGGGCTTCATGACTGGGCAGTGCAGAGGGAATACCCTTCTAATTTCCCTATGCCATTGCCATACCCATAGGTGCAAATGTGGACTGAGATGTTGATCCATTTTTTTGTTTCTTTAAGAGTACTCAGATAACAGATTGCCTTCAAACAAAGTGTTAA